CCCCAGTAATGGTTTCGTTCGGTTTGAACAACTCATAATAAACGACACCTAGCTGATCCCACCAAATACACAACATGAGCTTTTTCCCATGAATGTTCGGCTTGGCTGTCGATGTTGAAGCATGGCCAGGTGGTCGCCATGATTTCTTCTTCTTTGGGTTATCGTAGTGGATCCATTGTTCATCACCAGTGACTACAGGGTGCAAAAAAACCTTCTCGTTTATGCCTGGCAAGCAGCATTTCACATATGAAAAATCGGCGTTTAACGTTTCTCGGCTTCAGTTCATATGGAACCTAATTTCCTTGCTTTTGAATCATTCCCAACGATTTTAAGCGATGTGAAATTGCTGGTTGAGTCACTCCTAATGTAAGTGCAAGTGCTTCTTGCGTTTGGCACGAATCTTCATCCAATAATGCTTCCAATTCCGTGTCTTCGTACACTTTCGGCCTTCCGCTACGTTCTTTGTCTTCGACGTCAAATTCACCGTTCTTAAACTTTTGAAACCACTCACGGCAACTTTTCTCACTTAAGGCAGCCTCACCATATGCTTCTACAAGGAATCGATGCGCCTCAGCTGCATTTCTTCAAATTAAAGAAGTAAATAAAAAGCTCCCGCAAATGATGCTTATTCGGCTTAAAACTCGACATTTTCGCACGAAAAAAGATATAAGATGCTGATGCAAAATCGTTAATATTTCAAGGTTATGTTATTGCCAGATGTCCAACTTTACGATATGACGTTTTACAGCTGACAATTTTAACTATAACATACTGGTAGCGCCATTGTTTGTCAAACGGAAACTTATTTATACTCCCAATACTTTGTGTTAAACCACTTTTGTCATTATACCATTCTTGTATTTTGCGTGCTTTGATGCGAATTATTTCGAATGCTTATATTCGAGGCAGGCGGTATGTTTCGAAATTATCGTTACGTTTCATCTATTCTCGGAGCGAGCAAACAGCTCGTCGATACCGAGCCGTCAAAAACAAACACATCACGCTCCTATTCTAATTACGCTATCTCAAATGGCACGCGAACCCCCTTGTGCAAATACCGGAAACTGTCGATCGCGCACACGCTCCGTGTGCAAATCGTTAGTTTGCCTAATCTTGATCGATATGGATCATTACCAAATATTCAGTGCGAACAAAACGAAGTGTCGCGTATCACTGGTGTATTACAATCCGTAACATTCCGAGATACGTGTCCCGCGAGGACTGTTAGTGCGAGAAAGAATTCGGAAATTTGTGGCGAGATTCGCCGGTCGCGTTGTTGCAATACTAATTCTTATAATGTCGACGAAAAGGTATTCATAGTACCAAGCACGCATCAAACAGAACGCATTAAATTTCGGACTCCGAGCATTGCCTACTGCCCGCTTCGAAAGCAATTTAATTCTGACTCAAAAATAAAGCAAATTATTAAAACAAAGAGTCGATCATTACAGCCGCCTTGACGAGCGAGCCTTTCAATACAAGATGACACCAGCGATCCGTCACAAAACACCGATACTGATAGCCTCATATACCATATAGAATGTGACGATGTCTACGATATCATGAAAAACGATATAAGTATAATAGATTTGACACGAGCGATTACTCGAGCGACAACGTATACGGCATTCCGCTCGCAAATAAAAAAGTTCCTGGCCTTATGAAAGACGAGAACAACGGTGCCATCATGACCGAATTTGTTGGGTTTAAAGCGAAAATGTATGCCTTGCGTGTAGAAGGAAGGAAGGATTTGCGAAGAAGGCAAAGGGCATCAAGAGTAACGTTGTAGCGAGGTAGTATAACGTTCGAGAATTACACGCAATGCTCGAATGACACAATCGAAATGACGCGCAGATAGTCGTGCATAAGATCCAAATTGTACGAGGTGTACACGATATCAGAAACAAAAGTCGCTCTAAGTCCGCACGACGATAAGCGGTATATCGGGCCAGGTTTGCCACTAACACGCTGCCATGAGGATTTACCGATGAAATAAAAATTTATATTGTATAGTATGTTTAATATGTAAATAATATGTATAATATTATATAAAATATAGTATATATAATATAGCATGTATAATATGTAAATACAATATGTATATGATATTTATAATATGTTTCATACGTATTTACATTTTATAATAAATATAAGTTTTACAACACATTTTTATGTATCCACGAATTGTACGAATTGTCAAATCCCAATTATTTCATGTAAACTTTGTTCCCCCTCTTGCGCAATACCTTTTCAACGAGATGCATGTCGGCGTGAGCGACGCTGTGCAATTCGTATTCGTAGAATTTTCCAGCAATACACTCGTTGCGAGAATCTTCCAGAAGATACGTTACTGGATTAGTTCGTTGCACTTTGATAATTTCAAACACTTCTGTGCTCCAATTCGGCGTGTAACTTTTATCAAAGACTGTCTTGAATTTGCTTACGCGTAGCGCGGGCTTTTACCCACTTTATATCGCGCGAATGCGGTAATCTTTACGCGATTGTAAAGAGCCTGTCGGCGATCGCGGGGGTACAGTCAACGGGACACATACCAATAGTTCGATGCTTGCGTGCGTTGTAATTTGATACGAGACGCGACAGGATGTCGATCCATTTGTAATTTCCATTGTACGTAAATTGTTTCCACATGTCGTTCTTCAATGTACGGTTGAACCGTTCGACGACCAAGGCCTTTACGGAATACATAGAATAATGGTCGAGGTTATGCTTCTTCAAGGATTTTTGTACATTCAAGTTGTAAAATTCCTTTCCTTTGTCTGTATGCAAATTTTTCGAACATCTTCTATTGTTTTAAAGTATCTTTGCGATCGCCTTCGTTACCTTGTTCCCGCTCTTGGCTTTGGTTCAGCTCATGCATGCTTACTCAGCACGTCGATAATGATGAGAATGTAGTGGTAATCTCTGTTGAATCGCGTATAAGAACGCATCTAGACCACATCCGTCTGCAACAGGTCATCGTATCCGTGTACTGTAACGTGTCTTCACGGAAAATTTCTTTTCGTCGGAGCGTGCAATATCATTGTTATCAACCAGTAGATGTTTCTCAAACATTGTGGATAATTATTCGATGCACTTCTTGAATCATTTTTTCAAGTTCGTTTAGCATAACCTGCACATTATTTCGTAAGACTGCAATCTTTCTCTCGATTTCATTCAGACAATCTTTTAAATCTTGAATGATTCTACTACACGTATCGTTTGTTTGCTGCAACAGCATCATCCACCGGTAGCGCTACTCGTCGAATCTTGCGCGATTTTGCGTCAAAGTCGGCTGCGACTATACAAAGAACGTTATCACGCACTTAATTTCTGAGCAATCCACGTCACTGATAATGTGATTCGCTTTCTTCTCCAAGCGATAGTCCAAACTTGTTGATCGGCATTGCGATGTCAACTGAACGACGTGTGTAGAAGTTAATTTATAATCAGACCAGCTTCGAGAAGTTCTTCAATAATCGACAGAATCTCGTTGTCGTGACCATTGTGACCCGCCTGGCGAGGCCTCGAGCAATCGCAGACAATCCACAATTTCGTTGGGATCATCCCAATGGATTGTCGATCGTGTTATCGTTTAGCGTCATCGTACGCGGTAAATTCACTCTTTTGTTTATTCCTGTTCCA